TTTTAATTCAATTAATAGTTGAATAATCTAACCGAGTAAACAAAAATTATCATTTAAAATTATCACTTGTCATTATTTCTATCCACTATCTTATTTCTTTCTGGGTCTGGAATCCAGAGCAACATTAGAAATTCTAATTTCATATTAAATGTTCATACCTCACCATAAACTAAACAATAACTAAGCTTATTTTTAAAGTAATTCCATGTCAAACCATAAAAAACTATTTAAAAAATGTCACCATGTATCTCAGGTTTTGCTGATTTTTATACAGTTGATAAAACTTAGTAAAATAAAAATTCCTTGAAAATTTCAGCCTTTAATCCTAAAATATGATTATTTTACTTTTAGCAGGTATTGGATTGGACCCTATTATTACATCATATAATGATGTTTATTTGATAATTCAAGTCACAACTTCAAAAATATCACCTTTTTACTTAACAAATTGTACCTGGCTATTTGCTAGGGTAAGTAATCATTAGAAAATCAAAGAAATGTAATAAATTATTATTATTGTTATTTTTTTCTGTTATTTAGGTGCCCCAAGAAGTCCGTACGGTCTTGTCACAGAGCGCCGCGGAAGTGCATTTAACCAGGAAGTTCACGCCCTCTTCCTTACCGTGACGCGAAATATGTCCAAAGCTAGTTTCGAACCTGGAAAGCAAGCGCTCTTACCACTGCGCCACGGCCGCACTAAATTTTCTTTAGTTCTTTAGTTTTTTTTAGTTTTTAGTCACGAATAAAATCTTTAAAACATCTTTAAGTACCCCAAATTATCAATTCAATTAGTTTTATGTCATTTTTTATATACCTAATGTGATGCTCAAGAAACCCATGTTGTCTTGATGATATCAAAAAATAAACAAACTTTAAGTGTGTATACGAATACTACACCGGACCACAACGGACCACACCGTACCACACCGGACCACAATGGGCCACAACGGACCACACTGGTCAACACCGGAGTCTTTTAGTTGAGCTCCGGTCACAAATTGCAATAAAAAGTGTGCCGACATTAAAATTAATAATTTTTACAAATATTTTTTTGTCGTGTATGAATTCTTGACTGATTATTTATAAACTAATAAAAATTGGTAAAATATATTACATTTAACCAGTTTTTATTAGTTTTTTTTTATAATATAAATTATTATGTTTTTAGTCACGATTCATGACAAGGCAAAAAACAGTTAGAGAACATATACAGATATGAAAAAGGAGGCTATACTAGAGCAGTTAGAAAATCACTTTTTTTAAATGAGCAGTGGTTGTAAATATTCTCAAATGGCAAAATAAAACAAGCTATAAATAAAAAAGTTTTAATTTGTTCTTAAACAATAAAAAAGTTTTACAAAAACTCTTAAAATTTTCAACATAATCTGACGGTTTACATCTGAATTTCTATTTTACTATCTTTATGATTCGGCCTCGTTTAATCTTCTGTTATTGAAGTTGTGCGTTCTATAAGAGAGTACTTTTTTTTTTGATAAGGTTTTTTGCCTCGTCCGGGCGCTACGGGAATTGTCATTTGTTCATCCGTTGACTTTGACAACTTCTCTGACGATTTTAAGTAAAAAAAGAATTTTGAACTGGCTCGAATCCGTTGTACATTATTTATTTATTTCCAAGTGTCAATAGTTATTCTGTTATTAGCATAAGCTGGTTTTAGTTCAAAGTTGCCAAGACCATACAAAGAATTTTGGACATGTTCCAAAAACGTTTTCACGCAATCTCTCGGCATCTTTTTTAAATTCAATGGTTGCTGCGGTAAGACGTTAGACCTTTATAACTAAATACATCTTTAACAATAGATTATTTCATTGCCGTTGACACGATTAAGATTTTCTTATCATTAAATTAATTATACTAATTTGGCATAAAGTGATAAAAATTAGGTTGTTAAAAACTTAAGTAGGAAACATTAAGCGCCCCAATATCTTATTTGTGACGTTACTAACTAGACCCATTGAATTTTAATTAACTTTTTGCTTCAAAATATAATATTTTTATAACATAATAAACTACTTTAAGAAAAAATAGTTGCTAACTCCAACATTTACGGTTATAAGTTTTGTGGTTTAAATTCCAAGTATTTTTGTATTACGTTTAAAAGAATCAAATCTGCATTTTTGAGAAAAATCATTAATATTTAAATCTATATTAACAAATAAAAATAGTTTTTTACAGCCTTTGGCACGCATGACTATTTATTGCTCATATTCGAAATTTCGCAAAATATACACAAATGATTTTTCCGACGAGGTGGTCATTGATGTTTGAATGCAATCCGTTGCCTTTCGTTGTGGTTTGATGTAGTATTCGTATACACCGACATATTACACATCATTTTATATTTAATTATTTATCTTAAAACATAAGTATTTTGCAGGGGCGGATTCAGGTCATCTCGTAAGGGAGGGGGGGCGATTTAATTTATGCATGCCGAGCGGGTAGTGAGGCTCTGCTGGGGGGTTTGGGGCTGGGGGTCGGCAGGGTCCCCATAAATTAGGAGGTCTGCCATCCCCCCCCCCTCCCACATCAATTTTATTTTAGTTTGTACTAACAAAGAAGAAAATCTAGGTATGTTTTATATCATGTATCCATGTAATGCTATAAAATTTTTTTTTGGGTTGAGCTTGTACGAACGATCATAGATATCAATATCAGATTCACAAAGTTTCGACAAGATATCGGTTCGGATACCAATTATGATATGATATTAATAATAATTAATGCTATAAACTCGAAATAA